TTGCGCAACTGCTGGTGAGAGACAGGTACATCGTACATCTGCGGACGGTACAGTAGTACGGCTCTGCAATCACATGACTTCCTACTGTGTAGTCAAGTGTAACCTGTAGTCATGCACCCCACAGCATCTACAGACTCCGCACCTGTCCGTCTACAGTATGTCAAGCACACATGGGTAGTTGTCAAAATTATGGTCCCTTTTGGGGTACCCTAAATAATGGGTGCCGTACTATAATCAGGACCCAAAAAGGGACCATAATTTTGACAACCACCCACATGTCAAAGCTCGTCCGAATTACATGCAGCAAGACCCTCCGAAGCAGGGGCAGTCATCATTTTCGAATCTTTTTGCAAGTTTGTTTCTCAAGCTGCTTCCGCTTTGATTTCGTGGTGCTTAGTCATCGTCTTCCAGTGGGGGAGCCAAGTATGCTTGGACTGCAACTGATGTGCGCTCTGCTGAAGTTCGGCATGATCCAGCTTGTCGTGTCCTAGGCCCGCGCGCCATGAAGATGTCAAAGGGCGCTGCTGAGAAGAGTGCCGGGGACCCAGTCTTTGCGGCGCGTCCTGGGGTGAATTGGCCGGTGCAGCCTGCCTGAGGAAAACGACGCAGGACAAGAAGGTTGGGACTTGGATGAAATCCGAACAAGGCCACAGCCGCTCTCTGATGCCTCGCCGCACCCCGCCGAGGTGTTGTGACACAGCCTGAGCAGTTTACGACAGTGGTCGGGGTCGGCGGAGGTCGCTTTAACAAGCAGCAGTCTGGGGTCAGTGACTCGAGACACAGGCAGCTAGTTCCTTCAGAGATGCAATGAGCAAAGGTCAGCGCAATCAGCTACCTCTCAGCCCTTTCCGAGACTTTTGCTGAGATTCGAGAAGCAGAAGCTCTGATCAATAAGAGGAGAACAGTGCATGGCACAGTTTGCAGTGAGCAGGATGGCTGTTCGACTCGAGTTTGTCGGAATTCTAAGGGCCCTCTATTGCTTTCATCGCTGTGCCTGGTGAGCGCACTGGAGGGAGCGGACATGGCCCTGCTACCTGCCGGACACCCAGCCACAAACAGCCTCCGCCGACAAGAATACCTCGTGGCCCATGTTTGCAAGCCGTTGGATGATATGCTTGAGGCAGTGTTTTACGCACTTCAAACGGATCTTGGCCTGCATCTGAATGACCTTGCCACCATGACCCTCATCCAGGCTCATCAGCGAAAGTCAGCGGTTCTGAATCATTGAAGCGTCGGAGCGGCCTTTTCTTCAGGGTGTGACATCTTCAGCAGTGGCTCCCTTCTGGGGCATTATCGCCGATCGAGGCATCTTGAAGAGGTGCGCACTGTACCTGGTTTCATGCTGTAAGCAGATCCCCAAGCAAGCAGATCAGGAAGACCATCATCATCATGGGCTGCATCCTCCAGGGACTTGTCACCATGTTGCTGTCGGTGGTCGATCAGACCCCTGGCTCACCGTCTTTGTGAAGCTGTGTTGTCTTCGGTTACCTTCGTTGCAGAAACTACTCGATCAGGATGGTCGGGATGACGATTCTGCGAGCACTCAACGGAGCGCCCTCTCCTAGCTTGTGCTCGCGTTTGCGCATCAGGCTGACCTGTGGCCAGGAGCTCTTTTGGCCTCTCTGCGCCCGGTGGCCAATGGAGTCATTGCCGATGTGACGTCGGAGCAGAGACGTGGCAAGGCAAGGTTGATAGGGCCAGGCGGGCCAGGAGAGCCCCTCTCGCGACGCTTGCTTGTTCAGGTCTATGGCTTTGTCCAGCTGTGCTCCAACGTTGGCTTGATGGCCATTGACTAATCATCGAACAGTTGCAACCCGAAGAGATCGGCTTAGGTCCTTACAGCATCTCTTGCTTCAGGCTGGTGGCCTCATCGGAACACCTCTGTCCACTCAGCTGGTCTGGGGCTGGCAGGCGAAGTGCTGGGACAGGTCAACCGGGTAGCACGTGTTCTGTGCCGGGCACATTGAGCCATGCCGTTCATAATATGGAATCACATCTACACATTGAGAGACACCTGCGGCTGACAAAAACGGACAGAGATAAACAAAAACAGATACAGTCACCAACGAACAAGGACAGACTGAGACACCCATACCCATGCCCAGACTCACACACACACACACACACTTACACACGCACACACACACACACACAAACACACACACAAACACACACACAAACACACACACAAACAAACAAAAA